ACCCAGGCAGCAATAACTAAGTAAATGTGTGAAAAAGCCTATTTCCTTTTCCTTATGTCTGAACATAAAAAAAGGAAAGGTAAAGTACACTGCAACGTTTGTAATTTAATGGTGAATTGTAGTGCATGCCATTGGAAGGGTTGCACTTGAAACAGAGAGAAGATTGCCTCAGTTTTTTCTTTCCTGTACAGCCAAGTTAACTAAAGTAGTGAAATTGTGCTTATTAAAAATAAACAGAAAGATGACTACTTCTAAAATACTACAGTGTTCTCTAGCAATGTCATTCCTTGGCTGCATCAGCTACTTGCATAGCACTCAATCTTTTCTGAGTGGATCTGTACAATACTGCAGACCTTTCAGCTTGATTGAAGGTCTTTTCTATAAATCATGATGCATTGCAGTCTACAATGTCAATTTCAGTGTAGTATGGCATCATCAGGGCAACCAGTAGAGTAAAAGGCTGTTACTAAGAAGAAATGAATTCCACAAGAAGTACTGTGTACCCCGTATGACACAGAATGACAGAATGGATACAATACAGCTGCTTCATTCTTGCATGAATGGAAGAAGTCCAAGAGAATTAGGCGGTCCCACTAAAATCATGTGCCTTTTACAGTGCCTTGAAAAAGTATTCATACCCCTTGAAATTTTCCACATTTTGTCATGTTACAACCAAAAACGTAAAATATATTTTATGTAATAGACCAAAACAAAGTGGCACATAATTGTGAAGTGGAAGGAAAATAATAAATGGTTTTAAAAATGTTTTACAAATATCTGAAAAGTGAGGCGTGCATTTGTATTAATTCCCATTCAAATCTGTCCAGTCGCTGCTGAGCGATGTGGTCGGATAGCTTGTCAAAACGCTTTCTGACCGCACTGAATGAAGGAGATGGATCTATCATTGCCTCTTACTGACAGCACACAGACAGCTCACACAGCCTCTCCCCCCTCTGAACGCGGACCAGGATGAACATTTGCAGCCTTCTGTATCTTCTGTATTGAACTGTATTTGTAAAGTGCTGCACAAACTGTTGGCGCTATATAAATCCTGAATAATAATCTATTGTGAAGCTCTGTGCCTTCTCTGCTGCCTTTATGTATGAACAAAAAAGGCTACTGACCCAAGCCTGCTTAACATTGTGCGTTTTTCAAAGAACAGTATACTTGTAATGGCTGTTTTGCGTTGTCATGAATGACAGTGCTGGAGAAATGCACTGTCATACACAAAAACACAAGCCCACAACCACACACAGTCATTTACTACACTAAGACTGGCCATACATTATACAATTTTTCTTTAGATTTACCAAAATCATATAATATGAGATCACACAAACACTTTCAATTTGCAATCAGGCATGCCCTTGCACTATATAGCTGAAAGTAAATCTAAAAAAAATTGAATAATAAATTGTATAATGTATGGCCAGTCTAATTTCCACTGTTGTTGGTTTGTGTTTTGTCAATGACAAAGACACTCTCCAGTGCCCTTTAAAACAACACAAGCTGACAGCTACAAGTTTACTTTTCTTTGAAAAGCAGGCAGCAATAGCGAGCAGGATTGGGTGTGCAATCAGCACCTTTTCATTCAGTATAATAAAGCACTGTCAATTATTACATCACTCCCATTTACTTCCCCACTTACAGATTGCTTGGCATTACATACAAAGAAGTTTACAGTTTTTGGGATTTTCTTTACATATTTTAAAGTTGAAGTTCTGTTTGTCAAAAAGCACCATTTTGGTTGGTTTTACTCATGATGATATTAATCACAATGGCTAAGGTTCAGTTCACACTGCTGCGGCATAAGATCCAACCTGTGTGACCCCAAGTCGGATGACATGTGAAAATCAATGTTTCCCTATGACAGCCGTCTTAACTGATGCTAAATAATTCAGCCTCACTTTGGAAAAGGTTCCTGCACTACTTTGATCAGATTCTGATACACTTTCAAAGCCACAGAGTGTGAAAAGTCACATCAAAGTCGGGTTCCAAAGTTGCACTGAAAGCCGTCCAACTTTGGAGTCAGGCTAGTGTGAACCGATTTTCATCAATGTGACTTAATTCTAATTTTATTTTCATTTAGTTTTTGTCACAGAAAACATGCAGCTGATGAAAACTGTGACGAAAATATTTTCGTCTACAAAATTAACACTGTAATAAAGTCAGCAAAGGAGGCACAGGGCTTATCTGCTGGCTGTACCTTCCCCTCAAGAATGCCACTATGAGCCTGGGGTGGAGCTCAGAAAATGCTAACAGGATGCCACACTTGCCTCTGGCATTGATGGTTTCTGATTCACCAACATGAAACAAGCACACAACACCTGAAGCTGCTGATTTGGAAACTTGTTCCAGGTCAGCTACTTAGAAAATACTGAAGCAGAAGTGAAGACTTAATACTTGATATCCGTAGGGCAGCACTAGCATCTTCTTCTGAGTACCTGTCTTCAGGCCTCTTCATTGGTCGTGGGGGAATGACATCACATCAGCACATGTGCAGGAGGCTGCCGTCCTGGCACTCTGAGCTGTGCATGCACAGTACCTGTCCCCCAGTCTCTGTTTACAGCACCGGATAAAACAGAAAGCGGGCAGGTAGGGACAGTTTATTGCAGAAGAGATATTGTATGTCTTTTCTGCATTAAAAGCCTGCCTGCTGACGGTTTCTTACACTGGAACTTCAGTTTTGCTTTAACCATCTCCCATCCAGCCAATGCACAAACGACTAAACAGGTGAAGCGGCAACGCAGGTGGAAGTACCCGCGCATTCTCCCGCATCGGCTGCTTGTGTACGCTCCCAATCTTTGGTTGACACAGCGGATCATAGATCAGGATATAGGACTACTGTGATTGGCCCAGTACCATGCGACTGCTGTGGCCAATCACAGCACTCACAGTAGTAACACAATGGCATCAGGAATGATGCCAAACACATAGAAATACTGGCTTATACTATGATCATCACTGTATAAGCAATCACAAAAAACAAACAAAAAAAAAAAAAAAAAAAAAAAAAAAAAACACAAATCCCGATCACCGCAGCCCCTCAGAGCAGTACAGTAAATACATAACTTTTTTTTTTTTTTTTTTTACATACTACAAGACCAATGTGCAAGCTAGCCAAACTAGAAACTTAAAATGTAAGAAGGGAGCAGTGACTACTTCTGATGCTTGATTTTTACTGCCTCTACCATACTGCCTATTGTAAAAGTGTCAGTACTAAGATGTAATAGACAAAGAGTAAAAGGATGTTATGTTTCTCTTAATACTGAAAGTGTGTTCAAATTCTCCTTATACCAACCCTCTAAGGTAGTGCTGTACCCTCCTACAGAATCTGTAAGGTGATATGTGTGCTGCATCCTACTGGACCTGCGAGGTGGTATGTGTGAACTGACCTCTTTTAGTGAACCTGTAAGAAGGTATGTGTGTGCTGTGCCCTCTTATTGAACATGCAAGGTGGTACTGTGCCCTCCTGCTGAACATGCAAGGCGGTATTTGTGTGGTGTGCCCTCCTGCTGAACATGAAAGGCGGTGTGTGTGATGTGCCCTCCTGCTGAACATGTAAGGCGGTATGTGTGTGGTGTGCTCTCCTGCTGAACATGCAAGGCGGTATGTGTGTGGTGTGCCCTTCTGCTGAACATGCAAGGCGGTATGTGTGTGGTGTGCCCTCCTGCTGAACATGCAAAGCGGTATGTGTGTGGTGTGTTCTCCTGCTGAACATGCAAAGCAGTATGTGTGTGGTGTGCCCTCCTGCTGAACATTTAAGGCGGTATGTGTGTAGTGTGCCCTCCTGCTGAACATGCAAGGCGGTATGTGTGTGGTGTGCCCTCCTGCAACTCCCTCCTCACCGGCCTACCCCAGTGCAGGCTCTCCCCGCTTCAGACCATCCTGAACTCAGCGGCCAGACTCATCCACCTCACCAGCCGCTCCACCTCTCTGCCACCCCCCTCTGCCTCTCCCTCCACTGGCTCCCCATTGCCCAACGCATTAAATTTAAATTGCTCACCCTGACCTATAAGGCCATTCACAACACTGCCCCTAACTACCTCACCGACCTGATTCCCAGGTACCACCCTACCCGTACCCTTCGCTCTTCACAGGACCTCCTTCTATCTTGCTCCCTGGTCTCCTCCTCCCACGCACGACTGCAAGACTTCTCCAGGTCCTCCCCCATCCTCTGGAACTCACTACCCCAATCCATCAGACTGTCACCTTCCCTCCTCACCTTCAGGCGCTCCCTGAAAACCCACCTCTTCAGGGAAGCCTACCCCACCCTCACCTAACAGCCGCTGCCCTTCCCTCCTCCTACCACTCCATCCCCCACAGCCGTTTCCTCCTGTGCCTCTACCCCCTCCCTCCTAGATTGTACGCTCGAAAGAGTAGGGCCCTCTAACCCCTCGTGTGCTGTTTGATGTTACTGTTCTGTTTCATGTATTGTCCCCCCTCTATTGTACAGCGCTGAGCAAACCCTTTGGCGCTATATAAACGCGATAAATAAATAAATAATAAATAACATGAAAGGCGGTGTGTGTGGTGTGCCCTCCTGCTGAACATTTAGGGCGGTATGTGTGTAGTGTGCCCTCCTGCTGAACATGCAAAGTGGTATGTGTGTGGTGTGTCCTTCTGCTGAACATGCAAGGCGGTGTGTGTTGTGTCCTTCTGCTGAACATGCAAGGCGGTGTGTGGTGTGTCCTTCTGCTGAACATGCAAGGCGGTGTGTGTTGTGTCCTTCTGCTGAACATGCAAGGCGGTGTGTGGTGTGTCCTTCTGCTGAACATGCAAGGCGGTATGTGTGTGGTGTGTCCTTCTGCTGAACATGCAAGGCGGTATATGTGTGTGGTGTGTCCTTCTGCTGAACATGCAAGGTGGTATGTGTGTGCTCTGCGTTTCTACTGAACCTGGGAAGTGGTATGTGTGTTTGCTGTGCCCTCCTACTCATACACATTTGGATATATTGAATAGACCTTTTTAACCATCAAAAAAAATTAAAAATCTCCCACCTTTCTTGCCTCTCTGCAACTGCCAGCCGATCAGCATCAGGGTCATTTGCCAGAATAATTTGAGCACCTTCTTTCTTCGCCAATGCAAAAGACAATTTCTGCAGAGCAACAGACACATAACTATTTTCAGTTAGTATGTTTAGGTAAACTTTTAGTAAAAGACCATTCCAAGATCAGCTGCCCCTTGCTTTTGTTTTACTCTCTTTTACCCTGGGTTCACATATATGCGGCTGTGCGGGCCGAGTTTTGCACAGGCACAAGAGCCCAATCATTTGAATGGACTACCGTGCCCTGGGACACGCAAGGTAGAAGTCCCTGCACTTCTGAAAACGCAGCCCGCACGGGAACCTCGGTTCCCAGTACGGTTGTGGTTTCCAGTGCGGGCGGCATGCCATTAGAACCAATGGCACCCGCCCGCGAGTCAACATTGCATTGTGCGGGTGGTGCGGCTGCACGGATTTTCATGCGGATCCGCAGCAGCACCACCCACACATATGTGAACCAAGCCTTAGGCCATCACTTCTAAAACTCCTGAAACATATAGACACATTTTGTTCAAACTTTGAAACAGTACCTCATTAAAGTGAAATTCTAGGCAAACCCTAACTAACCTTAAAAACAATCCTCTCCCCTCTACTAACACTTATACTAACCAACCTGTGTTAAGAAAAACGTACAGGGGTAGACAAAAGGAATGGAAACACTACATGATTTGCAGATGTGAAAGTGACGTCATGTTTTGCGTTGAAACGAAAATCTTTTGCTTCCGCTGTGTGATGAGACACCTAGCTAACAGGTGGGAAGCCTCACTGCCGTCATTCACTGCGTGTGCTGCTAGTAATACGGAGTCATGTCAGAGCTTAATGAGTGTCAAAGAGGGCAAATTGTTGGTGGTGCCGCCGCTTAGCTGGTGCCTCTGTGAGTGAAGTTGACAATTTATTTACCGTTTCGCGAGGTACAGTATCAAAAGGTTATGACAGCATATACAGTTTCTGGGAAACCGTCGCCTGATAAGCATAAGCGCGGTTGACATGGTCAACTGAGTGAAACAGACAAAGGGACATTGCACAGGAATATGAAAACAACTGCTGAAAAAATGACTGCAAAGCTCAATCTCAGTCATGTAAAGAGTCAGCCATACAAATTATTCAGCAAAAAAAATTACTCATTGGATCTTTGGCAAGGACGCGCAGATTCTCTACGAAAACAGTCAAAAAGATTTGCATTTGAAAGGTCATCTCCAAAATCTGAGCTCACAAGCACAGGAAATTGTCTGTCATATACATGGCTGGAAGCTAAGTGAGCGGAGCACTACATGTTTTCTTTGAGAAGAGACAGGAGACCGGTTCTACACTGCCATCAACTGGACAAACCTGGACATCCATAACTAGTCAACACTTATTTTGTCCCCACATGCCTTAGGCTACTTTCGTATAATACCGGCCATTTAGGAACACCTGTTCAGTTGCTTGGAAACACAAATTGCTAATCAGCCAATCACATGGAAACAACTCAATGCAATTAGGCATGTAGAGATGCTGAAGGTGACTATCTGAAGTTCAAACTGAGCATCGGAATGGGGATGAAGGGGATTTAAGTGACTTTGAGCATGGCATGGTTGTTGGTGACAGACGGGCTGGTCTGAGTATTTCAAAAACTGTTGATCTACTGGGATTTTCACGCACAACCATCTCTAGGATTTACAGAGAATGGTTCAAAAAAGAGAAAATAGCCAGTGAATGGTAGTTGTATGGATGAAAATTGTGTGGATCAAGGGGCCTCGCTAGGACCCCCTCTGCTTTGTAATTGGTCCAAGTGGTGTCTTCAAAATCTGCATTTCTCCCTGTGACACAAAGTTTTGGGATGTGGCACTTTACACCACCATATACAGTAAATGGTTATAGGAATGAATAGTATTGAGGTCAGGAAGCACATGTCACATGCTCCGCTATACTCTGAAGTGCCCTGTATTTCTCAGGGCTCTAGTGGTGCATCTGGGTGGCAGCAAAACGGAAGTACAACATATTCTGTAATTAAGGTGACAGGAATTTTCTTTCTGAATACTTGTTTTTTAAACATTTTTCTACACAATCACACCACTGCAATGTCCAATTGATCGGAGCACCGTGGATGACCAATAAGGGTGCAGAATTCCTCATACCCATGACACGACAGTGTCCAGAGTTACCAGTGTTATTAGGCCGGAAGAAGAGTTCTGCCCACCAGCCACAGAGAGAAAAAGTGTGACGAATACCTTGGAGCTCTGCGGTCATGTGACCACATAGAAAAACTTAAGTATTCAGAAAATGTAAGCAGAGAAAAGGAGAGCAGAGGGGGACCAATGTTTAATAGATAAGTTATTGTGATGTCTTTCCTTCTACTTTAATCAGTTACTCTAACTACAAGGATAAAGTACAGGTTCACTTTAAAAATTGATAAATTACACAGATGCAAAAAGCAGCAACTCTTTTCTTTAGTCTGAGAAAAATGTACCTTTTTGTCTGAATAATTACAGATGATGTCTTAGCACAAACCCCCCCCCAAAAAAACAAATATCCGCTTGAAATACTGGAACACAGCATGTTGGATGTTTAGGACACGAAAGAAAAAAACTATGAAACATAAGACCCATACCAGGACTCCTTTCCCCTCTTCAGGATTGGGGTATTTCACTGTAGGAAACTCCGGATCTGGATCTTTTTGCTCTGGGACAGCAAGTGGAGGGTTGAAACCGAAAGCCTGGAATGCTGATTGCACGGATACGTGGCCCACGCCATGCACAGACGTGTGCACAAATTTTAGCTTGGTGCTCTTGTTAATGTCTCTGCAACAAAGGGTCATTCACAGAGTTACCATTGTGTTAAATCTGAGAAAAGCATATAGCTTCAAACATAAAAGGAAAAAAAAGAAAGCAGCGGTACTTGAAATAATTTATTTTTACAAATACATAAACAGAGAATAGTAACAGTACATACGGCCACATTCTCCCCACCAGTTCTCTGGAATTGGTCCTATGTGTGGGAAGGCTGCACACACACAAGGAGTAAATGCAAACAAATGTAGGCAATGAGGGCTATTCTGGAGCTCATAAATGGTTCCATTCCTCCCCCTTTCCTAGTTGGAGCCAATCGTGCGGCAGAACCAGTTGTAGTCATAAAGAAAGCAACATAATGCCAACAATGGCCAGATATTCAATATGTAAGGGAAGATGTAAGTGACCGCCAGCCACTCCAGTAGTGGATTATTTGGTTTATAATTGTCTTTGGTGACATCATATTCTGAATATATACTGCATGCATGAAGCCGCTACTGCTAACCTACTATATAAAGAGGGGTCTTACATTTCTGAATTAAAAAGTAATTCTAAATATTTTGCAGCTCCAACAACCAGCTTTGAGGCTGCTGGAGGGTTCGGAGCTGCTTTTTAATTACTTTCCACCCGTAGAACTTTGAATAGAGATGCCTGTACCCAGTATGATTTTCTTACTACCGGCGATGCTCTGTAATGTACAAGCAATCCTAGCGGCTAAGTAGCCACTGGATTGCTTTTAGAAGCCGCGGGAAGGATGCCCCTTTTCTATCCTGCTGCTCTTTGGTGCCTTCTCAGGCTCTCAACTGATCAGGGAGCCTGAGTTTGAAGCCGGTGCTATCGCCAGATTACCATAGAGCTAAATGAGGACCAGAACATCCCCGATCATCCCTATAGTATTAATAACTGGATGCAAACAAATAAAAACAAAGCCATTTTTGGCTTGGGAAAGGATCTGATCACACAGATCTTGGTTTGATCAGATTCTTTTAAAGGCAGATGAGAGATCTGGGGTCCAATAGACCCCAGATCTCTCAGTAAAGAGTACTTGTCACAGCTTATTGCTATCACAGGGGATGCTTACTTTCCTTGAGATGGCAATAAAAGTGATTAAAAAAAAAATTAAAGGGACCATGTAAAAATAAAAAATGTAATAAAATATATATTTTTTTAAAGGGCCTCCATTCCCCTGTGCTCCACACAAAGGCGTATGTATACATAGGTAGCACAAGCTTATGTAAACAATGTTCGCACCACACACATGAGGTAACGCCATGAATGTTAATGCAAGAGCAAGAATTCTAGCATGTCCTGTGTAACTTTAAACCGACAACCTGTAAAGGCTTTTAAAGCATTGCTTATGGAAATTTTTAGGTACGGCAGTTTGGCACCATTGTGCAGGCGCTTGCAGTTTTAATATGTGACATGTTTGTTATCTATTCACTTAACATAAAATCATCTTTTATAGTTTACAAAAATTGGGTGTTTTATTGTGTTTGTGCACTAAAATTTATTAAATTGTAATTTTTTTCCAAAAAAACTTTATTTGGAAAAACTGCGACAGTGTGACATAAAAATTGCAAAACCCATCATTTTTTTCTGTAGGGCCTCTGATAAAATATATATAATGTTTGGGTGTTCCAGGTAATTTTCTAGGAAAAAAAAAAAATTTTTTTTTACGTGTAGAATTGGTCTTGTAGGGAAGTAGTTAAAAACTACAAAACAGGTCATTTCAATGCATCAATTCAGCAACAGCAGTGGGGTTTCAGCCATCTTAGTAGAATACATCTCTAATCCTAATGGGTAGAATTTTAAACTGTTATAATGTTTATGTCTCCAATATGAAACTTGCATTAATAAAAAGTCATAAAAAATGTGTAAAATATTTTACCATGCAATGTTATGCTCAAAACACTTTTTTTCCCCAAAGTGAACATAAATAGCATAGTTCATGTGTTCCACCGACAGAAAAGCACAGTATAAAAATAATAAAAAAAAAAAAAAACAGAAAACAAAAATAATCCTGGCTTGTCCAACAGCCCAAAGTCATCTGAAGAGGGATGTGGCTCTTATTCCTGATAGAAGTCAGAATTCCTGATTTGGAGCATTGATATAATCTGGCTTTTTTTTTTTTTTTTTTTTAACAGGTCTTAGCCTTTTCTCCTCTATGTAAAACACTAAATGAGAAAAGTTCTGTTCATGCACCTTTGTTGACAAGAGTCAGGGTAGGTCCCGGCACTGCGGACATTTGCTAAGGATTGCAGTCTACAGTCACCTTATGTCTTTTATTGAGACCGAACTGTAACATTAATGTGACATATAGTTCATTGCTCACCTGTGAAAGCAGTGCTTCTGTAAGTCAGAAAAATAATCCTCATTAATAGACTGTAATGGATCTTTTAGAAGTGAGCTGCCATCAATTAGTGAATCATCCCAGGCTTGTGGCCACGGCTCTAGGTTCTCTTCAATAGACTGAGCAATACCCGTGTCATGTGGTGGGATGATCTGTGCACCATTCTCCCAGTAAACCTACAGCAGGAAAGACACAACATGGTGGAACAGGTCCTGCTGACTTGAATAGTTTAGTTCAGAAAAAAAATGGCTGCACTATGATTAACAAGTACACACAAGAAATAACAAGTGAACTAAGTTAAGCGGGTCATAAACAGTTTGATACTTTTTTTGTTGGATATATTGCCTGCTATGGCTAGTGTATTGACAGCCAACACCAGTGTCTGTTAGAATACCTGAACAGCGGCTGCATCTAATTCAAACACTGTGCACTTTTTTTTTTTTTAAATGCCATATATGTAGGCCATTAGTGGCACCCTTGAAGCCTTGCTGAAAAACACCTGTTTTAAGAGATCAGCCCCATCTTGACTAGACACTAAGATGCACCATACCTTGAGAACTTGCCCCCACCATCACGGAAGCACACTCCATCATTCAAAATCCACACATGCACAGCTTGCTCTCCCTTTTCCTGCAGCATTGCTTAGCTCAGCCAATGAAGAGGCAGAAAGGGGAAAAGCAAGAGTAGAAAATAAGGTGGGGAGAGCTTGCCAACAAAAGTTCAAATACAAAAACCTATGAAAGGATGGAAGCTTTTAACCACAGTGATCAGCAGCACCCTATTTCAGTTGCTTCTGGCTTCAAGCAATTAAAGCGGAACTCCAGGCTGCCCTCCCAAAAAATTTAAGTCAGCAGCTAAAAATACTGTAGCTGCTGACTGTTAATATAAGGATACTTACATGTCCAGGGGTCCAGTGATGTCCACACCAGAGCCAATTCTTCAATCGGCTTCGGGTGCTGGTGCCAGCATCTTCAGTAAGGGACATTGGAAGTGAAGTCTTGTGGCTTCACAGCCGGTTTCCTACTGCGATGCACTTTGTGAATGGGCCAAAGTCTTCTGGGACCTGTGAAGTGTCTCAGAAGGCTGCAGGGGGTTGGGTCAGTGATCTAACCAGGTAGTGGAAATGGGTACCTGTCAAAACCAGGTACCTGCTTCCCTCAAAAAGTGGCAAATGTGGCAGTGGAAGGGGGGGGGGGGGGGGGTCAGGCAAGTAAAACTTCCCCTTTGGGGTGGAACTCTGCTTTAACCACCGCCCTATAGCAGAAATACTGCTACAGGGCAGCAAGGCTGTGCAAAATCACTTATGTAAACGTGATTTTACAGTTCCAGGTAGGGTCCGCATGCTCCCTACCTGCACCACCATTGGTGGCCTCAGCTGTTGATCACTAGGTCCCGGCTGGTGATTCCCTGCCAGTACCCAGCGATTGCTGAGTCTCACTGACGGTGGAGAGACCTGTACGTAAGCAATACAGATCTCTCCCCTGTCTGCATAACAGAGCAGTGCAAAGCAATGTGCCAACACAGTGAAACACACACAGCACACAGTTAACCCTTTGATTGCCCCAGATGTTAACCACTTCCTGCCCAGTGCCATTAGCACTGATCACGGTATTAGTGTCACTTGGGATGTCAATGACACCAAGTCAGTTCCCCCCCGGGTCAGAATGCCGGCCGCAGTCCCGCAATAAGTCACTGATCGCCACCATTACTAGTATAAAAAAAGTTAAATTCCAGTATATATACCGCCACTTGTAGACGCTATAACTTTCCCGGAAACCAAATAATTTACACGTACTGGTATTTTGTTTTTAGCAAAGACGTGTAGCAGAATACATTTTGGCCTAAATTTATGACAATATTTGATTTTTTTTTTTTAATCAAGCAAACTTTTTATTGAGAGGAACAGACATGCAGTCACATCACATATTCAATGTAAACAAACACAGGACAATTTGACAAGCAAATAATGCATAATGTAGACTGTAGAGCCCTTGTCGCAGGCAAGAAAAGGAGGAGCAGCATAATACCAACCAACATAATAGATTTACAAAGAACAATCATTCCTCCTCCTCCTCGTCACAAGTAAACGCAGAGTCGAGCCATTGATCCCAAACTTTGTGATATTTAGCAGGGCATCCTCTATGAATATAGATGACCTTCTTATATGGTAAAGTACTATTTACTGCAGCTGCCCACTGTGAAAACGTAGGCGACAATGCCTGCAACCACATACGAGCAAGCAATAATCTAGCCACAAATAACGTCTCTTGGAAAAAATAGAGTCTGAAATTTGTCAGTTTCTGAACTAGGAAGAAGACCGAGAAGGCACTGCTTAGGGCAGAGGGTAAGGGGAGAGCCCATTTTGTCATGAAGGAAGCAGACTACTTGAGACCAGCAACCCCGAATGAGGGGACAGGACCATATTAAATGAAAAAAAGCACTGTTAGGATCCCCACATTTAGGGCAAAGCGGGCTATATTGTGGCCTGTATTTAGACAATCAAATTGGTGTCAAATAGGTTCTATGTATAATATATAATGGAGTGAGACTGTCCGACAACCTCCAGGAAACCATCTTAGTCGAGGACAACACCTCCTCCCACATCTCATCATCCAGCTCCCAACATTCGCTTCCCAGCGGTTTTTAAGGCGGTATGCCAATGATGATGTAGATGGTGAGAGTAGAGCATTATAGAACGTGGACGTAAGTTTCTTGGAATCCGTGCCCAAAATCACAACCAAAAGACAATTAGAATGGGATTGCAAAACAGAGTCACCAAACTGGGCTCACAGAGCATGGCGGAGCTGGAGATAGCGAAAAAACATAAAATTGGGGAGATCAGATTCCCCTTTGAGGTCCTGTAATGATTTGACATCCGTGCCGGTGAACACCTGGTAAACATACAAAATCCCCCTGCTGATCCATAATCCAAAATCAGGGAGTGTGTGCAATTCTGGGAGGTCCGGGTTATACCACAGAGGGGTATAGGCGTGGATATGTGGAAGCTGCAACCTACTAGAGGCTAGCGACCAAATCTTACAATGGTGATACAACAATCCCCTACAACCCCAACAATATTTGATTTTTAAAATTTATTTACTGGATATGTTTAATAGCAAAAAGTCAAAAAGATTGTTTTTTTTTTTCTCAAAATTGCCCGTCTTTTTTTTAATACAGCAAAAAATTAAAACGCACAGGTGATCAAATACCACCGAAAGAAAGCTCCATTTGTTGGGGGGGGGGGGGGGGGGGAAGGACAAAAATTTAATTTTGGTGCAGGTTGCATGACCGCGCAATTGTCAGTTAAAGTAACGCAGTGCTGTATCGTGAACAAAAATAATTAAAACAGTGTACTAGAAATTGGTGAAATGCATTTGGAACATTGGGTTGCTTGAACCCTAGGAACACAGGTAGCAAATTCCTATGGGCCTTTCAATAACATGTAATGGTGTTTATAATGAAAGCCTGATAGAAATCTTCCAAATAGAAAAGGTCAACTGTATGACCAACAAAAGGTAAAGAAATGAAGTTTAGTCAAAGCTAACAGTTTCTTTACAGGTGCTAAAAAAACAAAATACAACAACTTGCAGGATAGTTCTCTGGAATGTTCTCATCAAATAAACCCAACATTTACTACTTACCTTGTAACCATTGTCTTGCTTAGGATTGTGGGAGGCAGTAACCATAATTCCAGCACAGAGATTGAGATGTATCACTGCATATGGCTAGAAGACAGAAATGCAGCAAACTTTATTTCTGATACTGAACAGCAAATACATAGTAGCCAATAAAGTATTACAGAGAAACAAGAAAAAAAAAAAAGGAGGCATTTACTCGACCCATAAATGTAGAACAATGTTTGCTTTAATAGCTGGAGCACAAAGCCATGGTAACTTCCCTTGTTGGCTACTGTCACCCAAACAGGTGTCACTATTGGAAGATTACTTCCCCTTCAAATCATTTTTGATTTGCTATAACTTTATATTCTGGTGACATAGGTCATTGGAACAAACCGAAAAGGTGAGTCTTGCCAGTGGGGATACACATTCAATTAAATATTCTCTGCTATATCCAAAAACAAGAAATAGGTTTAAGCCGTAGATATACTTTACTCCATGCGTCCTCAGCTCTTTACCTCTCCAGTTATTGTTGCTTTAGGCAGTGGCTGATTTCATGACGCAGCACAGCTGACACCAAAACATCTGTGTACAGATTCAATAATGCTCCGTCAGTTGAGTTCTCTTCACCCAGTGGATTTTGTAATAGACTGGACTCGCTATACTATCAGTTAGGAAACTGGTAGCAAATGGCTTGGTACTGACAGTAACATACACACATAATTTTTTTGTCTTAAATAAGAGTACGGGATGGTTAAATCTCTCCAAAGTGAGGAAAATCCTCTCTAAGAGAGTCACTGGAACAAGTGTTCCCACTGGAATACTTCCTCTTCCTCTCAACTTCCTTTTCTCTCCCTTTCAGTCCCAGCAACTGTGGCCACCAAGACAAATGAAGATGTTTAGCCTTCCCAGTGAGGACTCAAATAGCAATAAAAACCAGCTAAATGTTTATGATGGGATTTCAGATTTATCAGGCTTCATTGGCCGTGTTTCAGGCACTGAAGATGGGATAAGTCAGTTAAAGAAGCAGATTGCCTTTAAATAAAGGAAATTGTTATGGTCATGTCAGAACTTTAGCCCTGGAAAAAAAAAAAAAAAAAAACTTAATAGATAATTTATGAAAACAGACGGGGATCTGGAATTAATGATATTTCCCTACTAATTTTCATAAATCAACTGATAACCTGAGTTATTTATTTGTGCTAATTTGAATACGAAATAAAAAGCAATAATGTGCAAAATATTTATAAAAATTAAAATAGGAATTGGTGATGACAAATAATAATCAAATCAAAATAGCATTTCACTTATCACAGGTGTCAAACACAAGGCCCGTGGGCCGAATTCAGCCCTCCAGGCCATTTCATGTGGCCCTTGCACCTCTCCTGCTGGTACTCCCTTGTCTCCGCCCCCACCTTGTCTCAGCAGTTGGCAGCAGAGATAAAAACTCCTCTGCTGAATCCTGCACCTCTCAGTGCAGCTGCAGTACCCCCTCATCTCCACCTCCCCTGTTCCCAGCATTCAAAAGACTCTGGTAAGTGACTCCACTCTTCCTCATGTCCTCTTCCAGATCCTGCACTTTCTGCTTTCCAGCTTTGCCCCAAAGGGGGTACACGGTGATGTTAGGGAAGGTGTGGGATGCTTTTCATATGATGGGGGTTGGATGCTCTGGACATCTAGTCTTACAGACACAACCGGCCCTTTGAGGGCAACCATAATGCTGATATGGCCCGTGATGAAATGGAGGTTGACAACCCTGATCTAAACAAATATAATGGTTATAAATTCAAACCAGCAAATATTATCAAATATTAATTAAATAAAACCAACTGTCTAAAAAAAATGCAGCATAGAAAACTATTAGACTATCACAAAGGATATGCAAATTGACCATAAGACCCTGCACCCAGATATTCAAAGCTCAAAGTTAACATTGCGCATGAACTAATTCAGAATACCAGAGGACTATCCAATAGAATCTATATGATGTCAAGAACTAAATTCCAGTAAGTTGTCTATTTTATTTGGAGATATAAGGCGAGCACAAATTGCCTGCTGAAAAATGAGTGACATTACCAGGGATGTTCAATTTGTATCGCCCAAAGCCCTGGCAGGTAGTTTTCTTTTAACCTTTAGCTCACTGTGCCAGTGGGTAGAGGGGAGGGAGGAGAGCGGGAGGGGACACTCTCTCCCCTCCCCTTCTTGTTCTGACCCAGAAGTGACATTATGTTGTCACTTCTGGGTCCCCGTTGAAACATCGAGGCCAGGAAAGAATGTAATGCATTACTTTCGGTGAAGTAGAGGGGCGATATACAGGGTCTCTTAGAACCTGGATATCTCAATAAAGACAAACTGTCAAAAGTTGAGTTAAAAATTTGTAAAAAAAATTTAAGTTGCACCCAAGCAAATACACCCCCCCCCCCACCAAAAAAAAAAAAAAAAGTGATACCCCCCACCCCCACATATACGCACGCACAAATGTAAAAGCCCAATTACCTGGAGGGGGCAGTATAGAATTAGGAATAATTTTGGATTTTTCCTAGAAAAAAATCTTGTGCCATGTCAAGAGTTGACCTCTAATATCCAGCTTGTTAGATGGATAAAAACGTAGGAGGCAGTCGCTCTTTTGACGGAGCTGGTTAGACAAACTGGGACCAGTGCCACTTAAAATAATGTATTACTTAAGTGATTATGCAAAAAAAATCTTACAGACATTCGCTGAGGTCATTTGTACTAAGATTTCTTAATGATCTAAATTCTTCCGTTGCATACAGACGCTGCAATATAATAAACTCAAAATAGTTATTTGTAATGTTGAAAATATGATATCCAAAATACACTGCTCAAAAAAATGAAAGGAACGCTTTTTAATCAGAGTATAGCATCAAGTCAATTAAACTCCTGGGATATTGATCTGGTCAGTTAAGTAGCAGAGGGGGCTGCTAATCCATTTCAGCTGCTTTGGGGTTAATGAAATTAACAATAGGCGCACTAAATGGGTAACAATGAGATGACCCCCAAAACAGGAATGGTTTTACAGGTGGAGGCTACTTACATTTTTTTTTCCCTACTCATCTTTTCTGTCTTTCACTAGTTTTGCATTTGGCTAGGGTCAGTGTCACTACTGGTAGCATGAGGTAATAGCTGGACCCTACAGAGGTTGCACAGGAAATCCAGCTCCTCTCTAGTATGGTACATCAATACGTGCCATTGCCAGAAGATTTGCTGTGTCTCCCGGCACAGTCTCAAGAGCATGGAGGAGATTCCAGGAGACAGGCAGTTACTCTAGAGAGCTGGACAGGGCCGTTAGAGGGTCCTTAACCCATCAGCAGGAGCCGTATCTGCTCCTTTGTGCAAGGAGGAACAGGATGAGCAGTGCCAGAGCCCTACAAAATGACCTCCAGCAGGCCACTGGTGTGAATGTCTCTGACCAATTAGAAACAGACTTCATGAGGGTGGCCTGAGGGCCCCATGTACTCTAGTGGGCTCTGTGCTCGCGGCCTGGCACCATAGAGCTCGATTGGCATTTACCATTGAACACCAGAATTGGCAGGTCCGCCAAATGCTCCCTGTGCTTTTCTCAAATGAAAGCAGGTTCACCCTGAGCACATGTGACAGATAATGAAAGGGTCTGGGGAAACCATGGAGAATGTTATGCTACCTGTAACATTGTTCAGTATGACCGTTTTGGTGGTGGTTCAGTGATGGTCTGGGGAGGAATATCCATGGAGGGACGCACAGACCTCTACAGGCTAGACCAGTGGTTCTTAACCTGGGTTCGATCGAACCCCAGGGGTTCGGTGAGTCAGTCTCGGGGGTTCGGCGGAGGTGACCCACACCCGACTCATATGATTTGTGATGACATGCCCCGCTTGTCCATCATTGGCTGCAGGTGGTCACGCAACATCGCTTAGCCCAGTGGTCGGCAAGCCGCGGCTCTTGTGTGCCGGGCGCCCGCTCCCCTCCCTCCTCTCGGGCGGCAGGGACTCAAATGCAATGATTGGCCAGTCTCGCTGCCACTCACATCCTGATAGCCAGTGATTGGCTGTCAGGATGTGTGTAGGTGGGGCAGCGTGACGAACGTGAGAGGAGCTCCTCCCTGAAGACCGGAACGGCGCGGGAATACAGCGAGAGGAACGCGCGGAGCAAAGGTAAGTGAATTGACACAGGGGGGACTTGGGGACTTAATATGGGGGATGAATTAATATGGGGAATGAATTACTATAGATGGGATGAATTACTATATGGGGGATGAATTATTATATGAGGGATGAATTACTATATGGGGGATGTATTACTATATGGGGGATGAATTACTATATGGGGGATGTATTACTATATGGGGGATGAATTACTATATGGGGGATGAATTACTATATGGGGGATGAATTACTATATGGGGGATGAATTACTATATGGGGGATGAATTATTATATGGGGGATGAATTACTACATGGGGGATGTATTACTATATGGGGGATGAATTACTATATGGGGGATGTATTACTATATGGGGGATGTATTACTATGGGGGATGAATTACTATGGGGGATGAATTACTATATGGGGGATGAATTACTATATGGGGGATGAATTACTATATGGGGGATGAATTACTATATGGGGATGAATTACTATATGGGGAAGGAATTACTATAGGGGGGATGAATTACTATATGGGGGATGAATTACTATATGGGGGATGAATTACTATGAGGGATGAATTACTATGGGGGATGAATTACTATATGGGGGATGAATTACTATATGGGGGATGAATTACTATATGGGGGATGAATTACTATATGGGGGATGAATTTTCATACCGTTTGTTACAACATATCTTTGCGAGCAATCCTTTTCGAGGATGCTGGACATAAAGACGAAGAAAAGGAACAGACTTTGTTGCGAAAATGACATGAGTGGCACTTGCCAAGGTAATGCCGCGCATTTCTGAACTGGCCTCTGAAAGACAACAGCAGAAGTCACACTGATTTGCGGTAAATATTCATTATTTTTTTTTGTGTGAAAATCATGTTTTAATGGTTTTGTTCATTTTGTGCACCTATGTATAAATATATACCTATGTTTTGAATTTTAAAAATCATATTTTAATTTTTCCAATTAAGAAGGGTTCGGTGAATGCACATATGAAACTGGTGGGGTTCAGTACCTCCAAAAAGGTTAAGAACCACTGGGCTAGACAATGGCACCCTGACTGCCATTAGGTATCGGGATGAAATCCTTGGACCCATTGTCAGACCCTACACTGGTGCAGTGGGTTCTGGGTTTCTCCTGGTGCACGACAATGCCCAGCCTCATGTGGAGAGAGTATGCAGGCAGTTCCTGGAGGATGAAGGAATTGATACCATTGAATGGCCCCCACACTCGCCTGACCTAAATCCAATAGAACACCTCTGGGATATCATGTTTCGGTCCATCCGACACCGCCAGGTTGCACCTCAGACTGTCCAAGAGACCAGTGATGCCCTGGTGCAGATCTGGGAGGAAATACCTAGGACACCATCCGTCATCTCATTAGGAGCATGCCCCAACGCTGTCAGGCATGCATACAAGCACGTGGGGGCCATACGGACTACTGAGTACCATTTTGAGTTGAAATTTCAGCAAAATGGACTAGACGGCTGCATCATTTTTTCACTTTGATTTTCGGGGTGTCTTTGAATTGTCCTCTCTGTAGGCTTATCATTTTCATTTCCATCAAACGAAGGGACATCCTTACGTTCCTAACACATTACCCAGTCCATAGCAGTATAGATATCCAGCATGATATTTTTCCCCATTGAGATCTGATGTGTTTTCATAGTGTTCCTTTAATTTTTTTGAGCAGTGTATATACCAATATTGATCCATGGCATATACCAACATGTATTAATTGCTGAAAACCTTCATGCATTCTATGCATGAAGGTAAAAAAAAAAAAAAAACTTCTCTGTGTAACATCCCCCCAGGCCCCCCGCCCCAACTCTCACCTAAGCCACCTCTCGATCCAGCGATGTGCACTGGAGTCTCGGCTATCCCGGGACTTCCGCTCCTCATTGGCTGTCTAGCACTGGCAATCAGAGCCAGTGAGCCAATAAGAACAGGGGGGGCGGGGCCAAGCCACGGTTGTGTGTGTGTGAATGGACACACAGAGCAGCAGCTGCAGAGTGTGCATGCTCAGGTGCCCGCATAGCAAGCTGCTTGCTGTGTGGGCACCCGACATGAGGGAGGGGCCAGGAGAGCAGGCGGGGGACCCGAGGAGGATCCAGGCTGCTCTGTGCAATACCATCTCATACAGCAGGTCAGTATAGAAATGTTTACATTTTTTTTAAATGTATGCCTTTAGAATCACTTTAATTAGATAAGCATTCACTTCATATAATAAGAATAATAACACAATTGACATTTTTGATTAAAATAATCCTGTCAAATAATACCACCAACATATACAAGGTAAATTTTAATATGAACTCTTTTCCAGATGTTAATGAAAAAAAAAAAAAAATCATCGTGAAAAGTTCATTGTTCTTTGTTAAATCCGAGACGGACTCCTCAATTAATCTTGCAAATTGGTCTCATGGTCAGTCCTTATCTCGTGGCTGTCTGGTACAACCATACCACCCCAAATTTACAACCTGGGAAAGCAGGCCGTAAGAAATTGAAATGTCTAATGTTAAAGTCTTTGTTCAGAAACCATGATAGAATATAAAGAACAAAATGTTACATTATGTAGAGAGAAGTTCAGGGTTTACAGTTTCATTATGTGAGCATAGAATAGTTCCAGGTAGCACGGGTTGGCCAAACTTATAAAGACTGTTAAATGATTTAATGGCTACTTGTTACCATTAAATACGTTCTGCTATTAACATTAACAAGTCAAACAGAACCACTGAAAAAAAAATACTTACAACAAAAGGTGTTGGCGTGATACTGGAGAAAAGGTACACGGGGACACCTTGACTGATGAAGGCTGTAGCAGCAAGTTTTGCAAACCTAGAAAAGCAATCTGATTTAGTCATGTAAGCTGCACTGCTTGACAAAAGATATTCATTTCTTTAACCACTAGCCTACAGGGCACTTATACCCTCTTCCTGCCCAGGCCAATTTCCAGCTTTCAGCGCTGTTACACTTTGAATGACAATTGCGCGGTCATGCAACACTGTACCCATATGAAATTTTTATCATTTTTTTGTGACAGATAGAGCTTTATTTTGGCGGTATTTAATCACCTCTGGGTTTTTTTATTTTTTCCACTGAAAATTTTGAAAAAAATGTTTTTTTCTTAGTTTTTGTTATAAAATTTTGTAAATAAGTGATTTTTCTCCTTCACTGATGTGCGCTAATGAGGCTGTAGTGATGGGCACTGATAAGATGCACTGATGGGCATTGACAGGCATCACTGATGGGCACTGAAAGGCAGCACTGATATATAGCACTGATATATGGCACTGACTGGCACTGTTAGGTGGGACTGACAGGTGGCACTGATAGGCGGCACTGACTGGCAGCTCAGATGGGCACTGATTTGTGGCATTGATGTGAACTGGTAGGCACTGATAGGTGGCATTGTGGCACTGATGGGCACTGGCACTGTTCAGCTGGCACTGATGGACTGACAGGTGGCACGTCTGGGGCCACACTGATCATCAGGGCACACTGATCATCAGTGCCCTGATGATCAGTGTACATGTCCCCTCTGCGGAAAGCCAATTACCGGCTCTCCTCTCCTCATGAGCTGTCAGTGTGACAGCTCAAGAGGAGAGAAATGCCGATAACCGGCATTTCCCTGTTTACATGTGATCAGGTGTGATTGGACACAGCTGATCACATGACCGAGCCGACATCTTTGGCTCTTTCCGTAGATCGGTGATCCACTGTGTCCGAGGGACACAGAGCACCACCGATCGCCGCGCTGCGTGCTCCCTGAGCCGTGCATGTGCGGTGAGAATGGCAGGACGTCATATGACGTCCTATCAGAACGAAAGAACTACCTTGCGCCTGTCATTGGACTATATGGCGGGCGGGAGGTGGTTAAAAAATAATTTTGATAACACACTTTGATTTCTTTTTAGCTTGTAATTTATATATTTAGTGCCAGTGTCTACTTATTGTATTAAAACATGGTTTATTCTTGGTAAGTACCATATGTGCAGTAGAACATGAAGGTTTACATACTAAATACGCAAGTTCTCTAAGCTTTATACCTGCATTTAAGAAATACAATGAAAACCCAAAAGTGCCTAAACTGTGTGTATTTTGCAGACAGCTAGAGGTCTGCATCTGATGCAAAAAGTACTGTAGGTCAATACAGAAATTTCTAAGCATCTTAGGATTTGTGTATATAAACTTTTTTTTGTTTTCCTGTGGCCAGAATGTTCTGTTTCAAGTATCAACTAACATGTCTCAAAACCCCCAGTTTTAGTTCATTAAAGCCGAATTCCAGGAATTCTGCCACTTTGTAAAAAGTGAAGGCACACTATGAGTTAAGTCCAGGGAGCTGCATGACATCTCTTGGGCTTATCTCTATTATTTATATCTGACAAGTTTATTGCTTTGCCTGGGAATTGCACTCAAGACACTTGGGCTATGAGGGAGGAGGAAGGAACACAGAGCAGCTACCCCAACCCCTCCCCTATGCTGCCTATTCAGAGAAGCCCTTGTAGTTTGTGACTATGTTTACATAATACAAAGGCTTCTGTGAATGAACGGGAAGAGGGGAGGGGCGGGCATAGTAGCTGCAGCGACTCTCCTGTTGAAGATGCATAGCTCAGAAGGATCAGCGTTGCTCTTCCAAAACTACAGTAATAGCTGTCTTCTGGGAGTACTATAAAACTGTCAGATATAATAGAGCAAAGCCCAGGAGGTGCCATGTACCTTGCTGGTTTTAACTCAGTGTGCCTTAATGTTTTTAAATAGCTAAATACTGAATTCCAGGAATTCAACTTTATGTGCTTACTATATGTCTTATTGCTACAGTGAAAAGGGAAAGTACCTGCAGCTCATTCTTGTCTTTACTGTTCTAAGCATTTGTTCTAAAGATATTAAAGTAGAACTATAGGCAAAACTTTTTTCTTTAATTTTGAATAGAGCAAGGGAGGGTTATAAACCCTGTCGGATTTTTCTCCATCCGTGTCCCATTGTGGAGATTTCCTTTCACTTCCTGTCCCATGGCTAAATTAAGGGAATTCCTTGGATCACCACAACTATTATTGCCATTGGAATATTTCCTCTCTATTACTTTTTTGGGGACAACCCAAAAGTTTAGATTTTCTTTTACTTTCAATGATAATGAAAAACAGGACAAATATAGAGGGTGAATCTCCCTAACCGGGGCAGAGAAAGCAATAAAAACCTGACAGATGTTCTAATCCCTCTCCACTCTATCCAAAACTAAGAAAAAGTTTTGCCTTTAGTTATACTTTAATGAGCATTCCATAAAAGTCAAGTGTATCGGAACTGCACTGAAAGGAACTGCCCGTGTATTCCAGCCTAGTGATGTGTCAGGTAACAACCCTGTAGCCAAAGAGTAAAATGTTTCCAATATTTTTTTTTAATGTCTCTGTGTCCTTTCCTGTGTTTCTTTATAAAAAAAAAAAAAAAAAAGTTGTTTTTTTTTAAAATAAATGAATTACCTGTTTATCCAGCCAGTCACTTATAATTCTTGCTCTCTTTGACAATGATCTGCAAGCCTCTGCATCATTACCAGTGCACAAGCTCGCATTTTTCTATTAAGTGAGCCCATGTCCATGGCTTAAGCTGGCCATACATTAAACAATGTTATTGTACAACTTTCCTTTAGATTTACCAAAAAACATAACATGAAGTCAAACCTAAACAACACGTTAAATTTGTATCCAATCAGGCAGGCCCTTACACTACATAGGTGAAGGTGAAAGGAGATTTTATAAGAAAATTGTATAAATGTATGGCCTGCTAAACTGGTAATACTCCTACTACCTATGTCAGCACGGTGCAGGACTAAGCTGCAGTGGGTCACATGCATTTCAAGCCCACTCAAAACAAGCAGAGCAAAGAGTTGTCAGTTAAGTAATTAATCCATGCCAAAGCTGTTGCTGCCCTTGGGGCAGATCGGATGTCTGACTAACAGTTCCGCGTAGCTCTACATGGCCTTGTGGGAGCGCTTCAAAAAGCCTGTGATCATGAAAAGAGAAAAAAAAAAAAAAAACGTGTGTTTATGTTCCTGGGAAAAAATATGGCTCCACTCAATATTGCTGCTTGTACCATGGCAAAAATCTCTACGGATCTGGTCTGGTCATGTGATATTGTAACGTTCGCAGGCTCCTTTCAGCCAAATTGCAGTGATGTAAGAATGTATCTCTTTCCTCATGAGATGTAAGAACTAGATCAATGTGTCTTACTTCAGTCTAATAATACAATTTATAGCTGCTCCAAAATCCAAAGAATATCAGGTCCAAAAAAAATTGCACCAGCAGATCTGGTATATATTATGTTTAAAACTGATTTTTTTTTTTTAAGAAATCTTAAAAGCAGCATTAAACATAAAAGCAAACATTTATCAAACATTTATTTGCAGCTTACCATTTCTTACATCTGATGGGTGCATTTTTTTAGGCTTTTTTTTCTTCTATTTTCATCTGGTGATCCAGCGAGTAAGTTTGTTTTTCAACAGAACAAGCTCACTTGCAGTACAGGGATGCTTAAAATGATCAGCTTTTGTTTACGTAAAACCTTTATCTCAAAAGGAACAAAACGGTTTGTTGTACCTGCTAATAAAAAGTGTTAGCTGGAGTTCAGCTTCTATATGTTAGTGTATTTATATCTGCTAGTACATCTAACACTCCCCCTCCCCCCAAATGACAATGCTGTTGTCCAAATCTTCCCCGTGTCCTTTCATCCAGAATGTTGTTTCTCTAATACAGGAGGTATGTTACTGGCCAGATCACCAGGTGAAAACCCAGGGGAAAAAGACTAAAAAAAGAAAACTGATGTAGCCACCTCATCTAACGATTGGTAAGCTGCAATATATTACATTTTGGTTTTAACACCACTTTATTGTAAAGTCTGCTGCAACACATTCCTGCAGACAATGTGGCCAGATAGCCAATTCTGGCAATGTAAGGATAAATACACTAACATACACCCTAAATATTCAATTCTAAGCCTCAAATTTTCCAAAATATACACAATTCCGACAATGGAGTGACTCACAATTCAGGCAATGGATTATCTGTTGATGGCATAAAGATGAATCAGGCAGCATGCTCCAACTTGGACATTTTAATGACTATACACTGTTAACTGACTTCTGTTGAAGGGACATCAATCATCGACTGCAGCTGCTGATCAGTATATTCTGATAGCAGTGGGTGCACTGTCAAAATAAAATGTCCTGGTGGAATGGGGGTGATAGAATTACTGTTCCACATTCTTTGTGTGGATGGAGGAATCTGTTAGTTTCTGGTCATTCAGTCCACTGGCTGAACGAAAATAGAAAAAACCAAACAAACTGTATGTCCAGCTTTGGAATGGGGCCATATTTACCTCTTACTGCTTCCTGCACTTGTTGGGTGAGCTCGAGCATCATAGCCAATGACAACGCCTCTTTCCTTCAGATTACCAATATTCTTTTCAAGGTATCGGCAGAATCCCTGCGAACGAAGCATTTATTAGGTACAGTGTATTCAAATTGCAAATACATTTATGCATTCATCCACAAGTACAGGACTAAGAAGACTAACGTTTGTTGTTCTCGCAAAACAAAAAAAAAAAAAAGTGTCACTGGTCAATATTTTACACTTACAGCCCTGGCCAAAAGTTTTGAGAATGACACAAATATCAATTTTCTCAAAGTCTACTGCTTCAGTGTTATTTGTCAGATGTCACAATGGTATATAATTACAATCATTTCATAAATGTCAAAAGGCTTTTATTGACAATTACATGAAGTATGCAAAGAATCAATATTTGCAGTGTTGACCCTTCTTTTTCAAGACGTCTGCAATTTGCCCTGGCATACTGTCAATCAGCTTCTGGGCCCCATCCTGACTGATGGCAGCCCATTCTTGCATAATCAATACTGTCAGAATTTGTGTTTTTTTTTCTGATCACTCGCCTCTTGAGGATTGACCACAAGTTCTCAATGGGAATAAGGTCTGGGGCGTTTCCTGGCCATGGACCCAAAATTTCAATGTTTTGTTCCCAAGCCACTTAGCTATCACTTTTGCCAAGTTGCTCCATCATGCTGGAAAAGGCATTGTTCATCACCAAACTGTTCTTGGATGGTTGGGAGAAGTTGCTCTCGGGAGGATGTTTTTTTTACCATTCTTTATTCATGGCTGTGTTCTTAGGTAAAATTGTGAGTGAGCCCACTCCCTTGGCTGAGAAGCAACCCCACACATGAATGGTCTGTGGATGCTTTACTGTTGGTATGACACAGGACTGAAGGTAGCACTTACCTTTTTTTCTCCAGACAAGATTTTTTCCGGATGCCCCAAACAATCGGAAAGGAGATTCATCAAAGAAAATGACTTTACCCCAGTCCTCAGCAATCCAATCCCTGTACCTTTTGCAGAATATCAGTCTGTCCCTGATGTATTTCCTGGACAGAAATGGCTTCTTTGCTGCCCTTCTTAACACCAAGCCATCCTCCAAAAGTCTTCACCTCACTGTGTATACAGATGCACTCACACCTGCCTGCTGTCATTCCTGAGCAAGCTCTGCACTGGACATTCTTGAGCGCCCTGAAGCCCTCTTAACAACAATTGAAACTCTCTCCTTGAAGTTCTTGATCCGATAAATGGTTGATTTAGGTGCAATCTTAGTAGCAGCAATATCCTTGCCTGTGAATCCCTTTATGTGCAAAGCAATAAAGACTGCACATATTTCCTTGCAGGTAACCAAGGTTAACAGAGGGAGAACAATGACTTCAAGCACCACCCTCCTTTTAAAGCTTCCAGTCTGTTATCCTAATTCAATCAGCATGACAGAGCGATCTCCAGCCTTGTCCTCATCAACACTGACAACTGTGTTAACAATAGAATCACTGGCATGTCAGCTGGTCCTTTTGTGGCTGAAATGCAGTGGAAATGTTTTTTGGGGGACCAAGTTCATTTTCATGGCAAAGAGGAACAATTAATCCGATCACTCTTCATAACATTCTGGAGTATGTGCAAATTGCCATTATAAAAACTGAGACAACAGACTTTGTGAAAATTAAATATTTGTGTCAGTCTCAAAACCTTTGGCCAGGGCTGTATACGTGCAGATACATGAGTAAACCACACCTCCCTTATATTTAGCCTTGTGGGACCTATAAGAATTATTATTACACATATACATTTGTAAACTCTCACCCTATACAGGCCATACTCATGTTTTTTTGGCGAGAAACTTTCTGCCAGGAAGATCCAGGTATCATACGTCAGTATATTTATTACCGACAAGCTACATTTGTGACATATTTATGTAGAATTCCTATTAAAACTTCAAGCTTCAAACTTCAAAAGACAAGCTGACGTGTACTTTATTGAAACAGGATTCTTCTGAGTAATACAAACAACTAAGTGTATGTGCAAGGAGACTTTGGCAACATTACAGAAGCCAAGTCAAGGAATTCATTGTGAAGTTGTGTAATATTTTAACGTTCAGTTCCTGAGCATGTCTGCACATTGGGCTCATATGCTGGTCACAATCTCACTATCCAATTATTGCAATTATTACATCAGCCATCTTACATTACAGAATGTGCTGAAACAATTGGCAGCACCACTGAAGTCTACAGCAAATAGAATTATCACAGGATATTACAATCATTTTCCTTCAATTAATGAACACATGATGCTGTGAGGAATGTTAAAAGAATAAAACTAAACTTAAAGAGTAGCTCCACTTATATTGATCAATGTACATTGATTACCTCTCTGGGTGATCAACGTACATTGCAGGGATTTTAAAAAAAACTTTGTTGCAGATTCCTACCCGTTTCTGCTCTGAAGAAATAGCAGTGTTTCATTATGAAAGCATTTGCTGAGTTTTAATGAGGAAAGTTGCAGTGTCTGCATCCCTTTACAAGTAATTAAAGTGTAACTAAAGGCAATTTTTTTTTTAATTTGGATAGAGTGAAGATGGATTAGAACACCTGAGGGATATTCAATCTCTATATTTGTTCTGTTTACCATTATCATCAAAAGTAGAGGGAGAAGTCTTCCAATGGGTAAACTAGTTCTGGTGACACACCGGGATTCCCTCGCTTTGAAGGGATTATTTCACACTTCATGAATTTTTTATAATTCTAAAGTTTTGTTTACAATGTTTTAGTGAAATTGAAATCGTTTGTTGGGGCACGTTTGGTCCAAATGAACTAATCCCTTCACTAAATACATACAGGGGCTATCATCTCTGTGCTAACTGTAGGTAGCCTCAGCTACATTCAGTATACAGTGTTGTATTCTGGCAGCAGGGTGGGGACTTCTCATTGCACTCCTGGAACAAAATTCAGATGTGCTGAGCACTGGGTAGGGCCCTGGCAAAAGTCACATTTGGGACTGGTGTCATCCACCCCATGTCACCTCCTACCACAAGGCCAAAGGGGGAAGGAGGGGGTCCCAGTAGAACCCCAGTATCACTTTTATGACTGACATTGGCCATGCAGCAGCACACCAAACCACCGGAATTACACCAAGCAGGGCTCCAAGAGAAGGGGAGGAGGGGGCATTCACCACCTGCAGGGGGGGTTCGGATGGAAGTCAGTTCTCCTCCCAGTGCCCTCTGTCATTCTCCTAGCAGAGAGCGGGCCTAGCATACAGCAGGAGTCAGCAAAGAACAAGATGAGGTGGAGGTGGGGACAGGAAGGGGAGTTGGGTGGGAGCTGCCAAAATTTACTATTCCTATTACCAAGCTGGTGATTGGTTGCTCAAACCACCGAGCAACCAATCACCAGTTTATTGAAAAGAAAAGTAAAAAAAAAAGTTAACTTTGGCAGCTCCCGCTCCCCTGTCCAGTGCTGTGCTCCGCTGTAAGGCTCTCTGCATCTTAAATCAGTCAAAGTGTTATTATTGGTTATTCATAGTTTTTTTCCCCCCTTTTTAATACAGCATTACAATATTTTCTTAACAAGGCAATAATAATGTGTACATTATTTTATCACAATCAGATCAATGAAATATGATCGCTGATTGCTTGTATTGGTTATTTTTATGGTTTCCTTATTCAGTGTAATTATTACACCGAACACTATTACTGCCTTTTTAAGAAAATATTTTAATGCTCTATTGATGTAAAGCACTTATTTTCCTTTTATGTTTACACTGCTTTATGTTAATATTGTTAGAGGAGTTATTTATTTTTGTAACTTTATTCTGCATAAAACATTTAACAGTGTAATTTCATGAGATAATTTACGAGGGCGTATTTGGTAGCAGAATTAGGGGTGGGACAGGGTAAGGGTTGGGTGGGGCAACTGTTGGCGAGTAACTCCTAGGGCTAGTTCACACTAAATGCAGTCCAGTGCATTTTTTCTGCATCAAAAATGCCTGCACAGTGTTTTCCATGTATTCCAATAGCCCTAGTTCACACCAGTGCAGTCAGTTCCACTCAGTTTCCAGTGCAGAAAAAAAAAGTAAAACATGCTGCATTTTTTCTGCAAAGAACTATACTGGAACATAGCAAACTGCATCAGAACAGCACCTGAACTGCGTGCGGTATGAACGGTAAGCAAAATAAATGTAACCAAAATGCATCCGGAGTGTCTTTTTGTGGTGTGAATTGGCCCTTAAAATTTTGAGCCCTGCACTAGTGAATTGACATTTGCTTGTAAATTGATTTCCCTGACATCTCCATGGCAACACAACGATTTGGGGGCTCCCAAGAAGACAATTGGGAAAAGAAAAATGATGGTGAACGTAGAACCAATGTCCCATTTTCCCATAACTTTAAAGACGATTCCAACAGCAGTAAATATGTTAAGCAGGGGCATACCTGAGTTGTCTGGATAATGGTCAGGTCATTCATCTGAGAAACCCCAGGGCCCATTGCTGCCCGTAGCCCCGCTGTACCAAACTCCATCCTGGCACCAAAACATTTCTTCAACTCTTCTTTGTTCTTTTCTGACACCATCTGCTTGACCAACTCAGAGGTTTTAGGATTCTGCACAGAAACAAATATGAAGATGAAAACCCTTTTAAGAGTGCACATAAATAGCTGTTGTCCCCAGTTGATCTCTATACAGTGCTCAGATGAAGCTGCACGTTAGTCATATCTTCCAGGGTAGAGTCATAATGGGTTCCATGAATGCCTCATGAGCGGGAATCTAAACACATCAACAATTGCCATTCATCATTGAACTAGAAATACATTTCCGCCTTCCTGTTGGAAGTGCACGGCTGCACCAGTACATCAGGTACCACAATGTGCGAGAGCAGGCGTTCACTTTTGACTTTCTATAAGTTGGAGCATCTGCACCCCTCCAGCAACAATGCATCACTGGCATCTACGCAGAAAACTATACCTAACCCTCCCCTACTCTCATCTACAACTGCCCCACACTCCTAACCAGAGAGGCAGCACAGAAACTGACTTACATTTTCCTAATTTAGCACAGATTTGTATGGCTCTGCCTGCCCAGCCATGTCATCCATTCACAGGGACTCCACAATCTCAATGAAGCACAAGTATGGTGACATCACTGCCCCCGTAGTCCACTGATTTCTTCCTCCAGCTCCATAACAGAATGTCCCTACCTCACCACAGACCTTGGGGAAACAGTCTACAAGAGCCTGTGCACTACACCCACAATCTACTGATTGCAGATGCAATGCTCTGCTGGCTTCAATGCAAAAATTTAAATCCCAACTCCGCAAACTTTAAAATGATTACTTGTAGTAGTGCTGCACCCACACTGCAAGGGATAAAGAGTATGTAAACTCAGCATTTCATATTCCAGATATGTGCCTGCTATACCGTGTACTTGCATGAAAAAATATCCTGTTCTCTTTGTGTTGATTCCTTTGCCTGAAATCCCTGGTGTTCCTGCCAGTCCCTCTGCCTTCCTATTAAAACTGACCACACTAGGCATGAGAGCACAGCGTGGTCTGTTCTTTAGCTGTGCTGGAACTCAGCCTGCTCTCCTCCAATGATCAGAGTTGTCCTGACACAACCCCCCCCCCCCTACACCCTTTCACTGGGAAGACCAGTTGCTGCTGCGGTTACTCCTACCCCAGCTCTTATACAGCTGAGAACAGAGGGGTGTGATCACTTATAAAAAAGATAAAAAGCTGTTTATAATGTTTTTTTATATCTATACATAAATTCTTTGCCTTGCATTTCTATGGGTTGTTACAAGGGGGGGGGGGGGGGGGGGGGGGGGGGGGGGGGGGGGGGGGGGGGGGGGGGGGAATCACATATACTTTAACTGCTCCATTTGTCTAGGGGAGAGGACAGGCACTTTTACTTATGCGATTCTCTGCTTCCCCCTGCAGTGGTGAACGTTCAATGAAGGGCTATAATATGAGCCTTGACCAGCAAGAGCTGGGGGGAGAAGACACTGGGGGGACTGATCTGACAGCATGGAAGAGCAGGTAAATCAATCTTCTATTCTGTCTCCTCTAGACTTCAACTATGAATTAACCCTTGCAGGGCAGCAATTTCCCATAGTGGGGCTTTAACAAATGCACATTTTTTTCCACATTTATGAGGGGCATTTGTTATGCGTTTGCAAAAGGTGGACTATGCCTTTAATGAAACACAGACCTCTCAAGGCTACTTTATGGAATGGCAGACTATAGATGAATATTATATCTAGCTTCATTTGTTCTATCACACATGGCAGCAGAGAACTAGATCAGAGGATCAATAAGCTGCCAGTACATCTCTTAGGTAACATGTCACTGAATAACTCTGCTCACTGCAAAGCTTTTCTGTTTCAAGGTCCTTTCACTGACACCAACCAATGAGGGAGGCCATGGAAGGGGCTGTTTGTTCATTCACAATCTGTACGTTTCACTGTCACACACACTGCACCTTCCTTACCTAGCTGTCTGCTCATTTATTACTATCAGGAGGTAAGGAGCATTCCCCCACACTGACCTGAGGATATTCACGGTCTGACAGGTCTTCTAGTCCCTCACCACTCCATCCAAAACTAAAGAAATAACTTCAGTTATAGTGTACAGAGCCCAAGTCCACGTCTCATTTCATCTTAAAGTGGAATTGAACTCAGAAATGTAAAAAAACTGCTGACAGGCAGATGGGATTTTATGATAGAAAAGACCCCATTGGTCTTTTCTGTCAAAACTGCTCCCCCCCCCCCCCCCGCCTGCCTGTCAGTGGTAATGTATGCTGAGCCACGCATGCACAGCTTACCACGTTGTGCCATGATGAAGTGACACCATCAGGCATGTGCAGGAGTGACATCGCAGCCCAGTTATTCAAGTGGCAGAGTGAACCCGGAAGGAACTTTCACTGCCACAAACTACCAATTTAGGTGGGGATTAAATTTACCTGCCAGTGACCAACAAAGGTAATAGTTCTGTTGGAGGCTAGAATTGCATCCACTGACAGCAATGCCGGGGGCTAGTATTATGTCCACTGACAGCAATGCCGGGGGCTAGTACTATGTCCACTGACAGCAGCTACAGTCAGGTTCATAAATATTGGGACATCGACACAATTCTAACATTTTTGGCTCTATACACCACCACAATGGATTTGAAATGAAACGAACAAGATGTGCTTTAACTGCAGACTGTAAAATAAAATATTTGTGAGCGCACACAAAGAGAAAAGCAGCTGTGCACCAGGTAACCAAAACCTGTAAACAGACAATATAAATAAAGAGTGCAGCGCTAAAAGAAAATCACAATAAATATGCAGACACTATTAATTGTACAGTGCATTAGGTGACTTGAAGTGACTTGAGGTATTCTTGCGTAATAATATCCTCCTATGGGTGAAGTGCTGTGATATTACGTGCGGAAAGAATGCGCACTCACCAGAACGCACAATATTTATGAGCGTTTAAAGTATATATCCTGATGTCATCTGCCGGCCCAGAGAGTGATTGAAGTCCAGTGAATTTCCTCCTATGGTCCTAGATATGAGTACTAGGGTATCAGGGTGATCCAGGGCTTTCCTTGGATGGTAGCTTGGGTACTGCTCCCTGGCTGCTATAGATGATCCCTTTCCGGTGGTCAGGTGGATGGCTGCAAATTAATACTCCACAAGGGAGTCAAAGCAGAGACATCTCCATAGTGTAGTAATTTAAATATGAATTTATTGGAGCATATGCGAATATCCACTTGTGATAAAAACGAATACAGCGCAGGAAAGCAATGTGGACTAACCGTCCCATGTATAAGATGGCCGCCGGAGCTCCACGATGCTCCGGCGGCGTGACGTCACGGCGTTGCTGGCTCCTACGCGTTTCGTGCACACGCACGTCGTCTGTCCCATTACTTTTGGTCCCTTAACCAGTGGGAGGCACATATGCAAACTGTTGTAATTTCTACACCGTTCACATGATTTGGATGTAAATACCCTCAAATTAAAGCTGACAGTCTGCAGTTAAAGCACATCTTGTTCGTTTCATTTCAAATCCATTGTGGTGGTGTATAGAGCCAAAAATGTTAGAATTGTGTTGACGTCCCAATATTTATGGACCTGACTGTATTATTGTGTCCACTGACAACAATGTTGGGGGCTAGTATTATGTCCACTGACAGCAATGCTAGGTATTATTACTGTGTCCACTGACAATAATGCTGGGTGTTACTACATCCACTGACACCAATGCCGGGGGCTAGTATTATGTCCACTGACAGCAATGCCGGGGGCTACTATTGCCTCCACTGACACCAATGCCGGGGGCTACTATTGCCTCCACTGACACCAATGCCGGGGGCTACTATTGCCTTGACACCAATCCACTATTGCCTCCACTGACACCAATGCCGGGGGCTACTATTGCCTCCACTGACACCAATGCCGGGGGCTACTATTGCCTCCACTGACACCAATGCCGGGGGCTACTATTGCCTCCACTGACACCAATGCCGGGGGCTACTATTGCCTCCACTGACACCAATGCCGGGGGCTACTATTGCCTCCACTGACACCAATGCCGGGGGCTACTATTGCCTCCACTGACACCAATGCCGGGGGCTACTACTGCCTCCACTGACACCAATGCCGGGGGCTACTACTGCCTCCACTGACACCAATGCCGGGGGCTACTACTGCCTCCACTGACACCAATGCCGGGGGGCTACTACTGCCTCCACTGACACCAATGCCGGGGGCTACTACTGCCTCCACTGACACCAATGCCGGGGGCTACTATTGCCTCCACTGACACCAATGCCGGGGGCTACTATTGCCTCCACTGACACCAATGCCGGGGGCTACTATTGCCTCCACTGACAATAATGCCGGGGGCTACTATTGCCTCCACTGACAATAATGCCGGGGGCTACTATTGCCTCCACTGACAATAATGCTGGTGGCTATTATGTCCAAAAAAAAAAAAAAAAGCGATTGCACGTTTTCACACTTTTACAGCATGTTTTCATTCCTTCCACAAATTAAAAACAAACAAGTGTGAATGGAGCCTCACACTGCACTGAACATTTTTTAGGTGCTTTTGAGCGTTTTTTTTTTTTTTTTTTTTTAGCAGATTTGCAAATATAAGTGTTTTTTCAGGCATTTTTGCTGTGACCAATAGAACGCTCATTCCCACTATTTGGGTGTTTTCTATTCAAGTTCAAAACGCTCAGATCTGCCTGAAAAGTAGTGCAAGTATTTTTTTGAGCAACAGGCATTTTGCTACAGAGTGCTCAAGTGTGAACAGGGCCTATTGGAAATAATGGGATTTTACTTAGTGAGGGATTCTGAGCATGGAGCTGAAGTGTGAACGGGGTCCCAGACGTATACTTCTTTGCTGTGTTTGTCCTGTATACAGCACCCCACTGGAATAAACGGGGCGCCCAATGAGTGAAACACAACAAAGTGCCTATGTGCAGAGACGGGCATCTCACGAGATCAGGCCAGCACACACCTAGCGGGGTTTTTCCTTTGTACGTTTCCACGCCACACACATAGGACAGCCCTTCATTTGATTGGTCCAAGAGATGTGCCAAAGAAGCTCAGGAGCCTTTGTGGGCGCTGGGCTGTCCTTACCAATGAATGGACACACAGGCGTCTGACGCGTTGTATGCACATGGTGCTCGTTCACAGAACGCTCGGGTGTGAACACAGGACAGCCATGTGACCCCAGACTAGAGTCCGGTGTACACAGAGCTCCCAGGACTACAGATCCCAGCATGCCCGGGCTGCTAGGACACTGGCAGCCATTGTCACCCCGGAGGGTGCTAGAAATGAATGGAAGGAAGAAGAGCACCCGGCTATCATGTACTGTACAGGGGATATGGGGGCTCACCTTGTCCCATGTCAGCCATTCCTCAGCAGTCTGGTACAACCCCGTGTGCTCCCGCTCCGCCATGTCCGCTCTTCGCCTGTCTCCGCCAACACCGGGAACACCGAGCGCAGCCGGGGAGGAGTCACAGGATCATGTGACCGGCGACGAGGAAGGGGCTCGCCTGTGTCTATTTCCGCACAGAGCTGCCATCTTGTGGTGGAATAGGAGAAGGCGGGGAATGTGCAAGGCTAGTGAGGGAGGTCCGTCCAAGAAATGACTGAGCGTCCTGTACAACGTCCTGTACAACCAGATATCTGAGTGCGCTGAGGAGGACAGTCCCACCTCTCTCATTTCTGCAGTGAAGAATTAAAGTGTTACTAAACCCAGGACCTGCATTCACTATATCTGGTCTCCCACAGTACACACTACATGGAAATTCAATTGGTTTAGTAAATATAAACTGCTAAATACACTGATCAACATGATTAAAGGAACACTTGTTAATCAGAGTATAGCATCAAGTCAATTAAACTCCTGGGATATTGATCTGGTCAGTTAAGTAGCAGAGGGGGGTTGTTAGTCAGTTTCAGCTGATTTGGTGCTAATGAAATTAACAACAGGTGCACTAGATGGGCAACAATGAGATGACCCCCAAAACAGGAATGGTTTTACAGGTGGAGGCTACTGACTTTTTTTCCCTACTCATCTTTTCTGACTGTTATTCACTACTTTTGCATTTGGCTAGGGTCAATGTCACTACTAGTAGCAGGAAGTGATACCTGGACCCTACAGAGGTTGCACAGGCAGTCCAACTCCTCCAGTATGGCACATCAATACGTGCCATTGCCAGAAGGTTTCCCAGCACAGTCTCAAGAACATGGGGAGGAGATTCCAAAAGACAGGCAGTTACTCTAGGAGAGCTGGACAGGGCCATAGAAGGTCCTTATCCCATCAGCAGGACCGGTATCTTCTCCTTTGTGCAAGGAGGAACAGGATGAGCATTGCCAAAGCCCTACAAAATTATCTCCAGCAGGCCACTGGTGTGAATGTCTCTGACCAAACAATCAGGAACAGACTTCATGAGGGTGTCCTGAGGGCCCGACATCCTCTAGTGGGCCCTGTGCTCACTGCCTGGCACCATAGAGCTTGATTGGCATTTGCCATTGAACACCAGAATTGACAGGTCCGTCACTGGCGCCCTGTGCTTTTCACAGATGAGAGCAGGTTCACCCTGAGCACATGTGACAGACATGAAAATGTGTGGAGAAACCATGGAGAACGTTATGCTGCCTGTAACATCATTCAGCATGACCGTTTTGGTGGGTCAGTGATGGTCTGGGGAGGCGTATCCATGGAGGGACGCATAGAATCCCACAGGCTAGACAATGACACCCTGACTACCATTGGGTATCTGGATGAAATCCTTGGACCCATTGTCAGAAACCCTATGCTGGTGCAATGGTTCCTGGGTTCCTACTGGTCCATGACAATGCCCGGCCTCATGTGGCGAGAGTATGCAGGCAGTTCCTGGAGGATGAAGGAATTGATACTATTGAATAATCCACACACTTGCCTGACCTAAATCCAATGGAACACCTCTGGGATATCATGTTTCAGTCCATCCGACGATGCCAGGTTGCACCTCAGACTGTCCAGGAGCTCAGTGATGCCCTGGTCCAGATCTGGGAGGAAATACCCCAGGACACCATCCGTCATCTCATTAGGAACATGCCCTGATTGTTGTCAGGCATGCATACAAGCACATGGGGGCCATACAAACTATAGAGTACCATTTTGAGTAGCTGCAATCAAATCTCAGCAAAATGGACTAGCCTGCTGCATACATTTTTTTTCACTTTGATTTTTGGGGAGGGAGGGGGGGGGGGGCTTTGATTTCAGTTCTCTGTAGGTTGATAATTTTCATTTCCATCAAATGATGAGTCATACTTATGTTCCTAACACATTACCCAGTCCATATCAGTATAGATATCTAGCATGATATTTTTTCCTCATTGAGATCTGATGTGTTTTCAAAGTGTTCCTTTTTTGAGCAGTGTACCTTTTCTCATCAGCAGTTAGAGCAGTCTTGTGACTTCTATCAGTGTTCAGCAGAGCACTGGTTAAAGCTTGTAGGAGTTTTATTCCTGCTCTAGAGGAGGATGCAGGACCCCTGACAGTGCTGACTGGCCCTGTGCTGATCACATGCACTCTCCCAAGAAAAAAAAAGAAACCTCTGTAGCAATCCACACCAAACTGAGCATGTGCAGAGTGACTCCACACAATATGTCTTATCAAGAGATAAGAGGGGGACACTGGAAAAGGGGAGTGTCAGAAAAGTCAGGATCAAACAGCATTTTAATAATGGAAAAATAAGGCCTTGTAAACTTCTAGTCCCAGCCCCACCCCCGCCAGCACAGTGTACTGGTCACTTAGCACTGAACGTAAACACTAGAAGAGCAGCAAGCACTTGCTCTGCCTCCTCAGGTATCTTTCCTAGCTGCGTCTCTTGGCGCTCTGTTCAGAAGTCAGATTTAGAGCTTGTAGAAGATGGACGTGTGGTAGGAATGGGGAGTGTGAGCCATGTTATGGCAATCTAGAAGTAGAAGAATTTCCACCCTGTGGGCCCGTCGTGATTCTTGGACATTTCTATGAAGTGTGTTCAGTGTGTAGGAGGGCTGGACTGCAATAAATACCATTTATAAAGTGGTGCAGAGCCAGGTTGTAAAAGCTCCAGGCTTTTTACATTCTATGAATAAAAAAAGCCTTCTGTGTTGCAGCAGTTGGTCAGTGAATCGGCCCCATCCCCAGCTTTAGTAGCTCCATGGATCGGCTCCCACCTGATGCAGTGGGCAAATGGATGCTTGAGAGATGGGGAAACAGCTCTCATTGTTTGAACACTGTTTGTGTGCAGTAAATTATGGTGTGGAGTAAATTGATGTTTTGACTGACATTCTGTGGTTTAGCCACAAGATGTCACTGTTTTTCTCTAACACAGTGTGTAAGGGACCCGCCCGGCGGTACTACTAGCACTCCACTGAATAGGCGTCCCCAGCGCAACGGAGTCTAAGTCCCAGGGTGCTTGTTTCACCAGGGCCCCTGATGGTGGGGATGGACTTGGAGCTCCCTGAGACCAGGTCGTGGCTACTGGGTGCGCCCGTCAGTGGTAGTAGTATGCGGCAAGGGGCTCCCACGGGGAAGAGTCTGGATGTGAGGAGGTCAGAAGACCCCACTGCATCGGGATGGATGGATGGGATGAGCAAGGTCAGACGGGCCGGGTCGGTAACAGAGAGGGCGGCAAGGTACAAGGCATGCGGGCATAGAATGGTCGGGTCACACGCCAGGTCAGCAACAGCAGGTCAAATCCAATAGGGGGCATTCAGGAGAGAGGTCAGGCAAAGCAAGGGTCAGAATAGGAGAAAACAGCAAGGTCAGGTATAATCCGGGTCAATAACTTACAGGGTACAGGTTCACAGGATACAGGATGCAGGAAAGACCAGGGAAGGCACTGAATGACAGCTCAGGGTCGTTTAAAATATCCCGCCTGCGCTGCCATTGGTGCCCAGCGGGCGGCCGGCGGCTTCTACTGCGCAATGCGCGAACTCGTAAACGCCGACGGCCGGCCCGGACCCAGTGCTCGAATCCCTGCGCCGGGCGGCCCATACTGCGCCTGGCGCCGGGATACCAACGCGGCGGGGGATCGAGGGGATCCCTGACATTGCCGGCCCCCCCCTACGGGCAACCTCCGGATGCCCACACCCGATCTCTCCACCACGGGTGATCGCGAAAGAACCTCTCGGACAAGTCTGGGTGCATGGACCATTATGGGCTGGTTCCCAAGAATTGTCCTCAGGACCATAGTCCCCTTCCATTTGATAAGGAATTGGGTCTCTGGCCTCCCCTCCTTCGACACTTCAGGATTGTTTCAACCTCAAACTCTTCTTCTCCTTCGACCGTTACCGCTTCCGGGGGTCTAGATTCCCGGTCAGGGAAGGCATCTGGGGACCACTGTCTTCAGCAGGGACACATGAAAGACCGGGGGTGGATCTTGAGCGTGTCAGGGAGGGCGAGTTTCGTAGGCTACTTCGTTAACCATGGACCGTTTAATGCAGAAGGGGCCTATAAATTTGGGTCCCAATTTCTTTTGACGGGCAAAGCATCTTTAGATTGGACGTCGCCAGCCAAACCTTCTCCCCAGGCCGCAATACCAGATCTCCTCTACACGTTTCTGTTGAATGCTTTCCTGTAGTCTTCCTGGGACCCAACTGATGGCCACTTGAAGCTTCTTATTTGTTCGCAGAGCGAAGAACGATACCACATCTTGTGTTGCTGGTACTGGGCATTTCCGACACCAAATCCGGGAGGAAGACTGGGTGAAAGCCATAGTTGGCAAAGAACGGGGACTGCCCTGTTGCTGGAGTGGCGGGCGTTGTTATACGCAAATTCGCTAAAGGAAGAAGTGGCAGCCATCAGTATCTTGAGTAAACGAGGTATAGCATCTTAAGTATTTGCTCCAAGGTCTGATTGGTCCTTTCGGTTTGAAACCGTTAGTTTGAGGGTGGAACGCAGAGGAGAGAGATAATTTGATGTCCAGGGCTTTGCACAGTGCCCTCCAGAATCTGGACGTGAACTGGACCCCTCGGTCCGAGACGATGTCTTCAGGGACCCCATGCAACCTGACTACCTCACGAATGAAGACTTGCGCGGTCTCGGCGCCGAGGGGGTTTTCTTCAACGGGATGAAGTGGGCATCTTGGACAAGCGGGGTCACGACTACCAGGATTGCCGTGTGGTCTCGGGATGGCGGAAGCTCGACTATAAGTCTAGTGAGATCTTTTGCCAAGGCCGTTCAGGAATAGGTAAGGGTCGCAGCAGACCCCAAAAACCTGTTTCTTGCTGGCTTGTTCTTCTGGCAGGTGACACAGGACCTGACATAGCCCTTACAATCCTTAGCCATGTCTGGCCACCAGAATGAGCGTCGGGAAGAGAAGTTCCAGGGTCTTTTCTGGGCCAAAGTGCCCCGCCATTTGGGGTGGTCGTTGGCAATGCCCCAAGACCAAGGTTCGGGTTTCTTCCGGCACCACAATT